ATGGAACTCCACTGCCATTTAATTTATTTTAAAGAAGAAAAAGACTGAGAATTTTGAAATATAAATTTTGGTCCCAGTGTGACCTTGGCCAATGACTTGCCCTTCCCTAGGCTTTGATCATAATGATGATAGAGATGAACTGTAATTTTTGAGATCTTAAATGCATATAAATGAGGGCTAGATTGGTCTTAGAGACCATCTTGTTCAAGTCCCTGTATTTGAAAGAGGAGGAAGGAAGCAGAGCTCCTTCTAGAAGTAGTCACTTGCCCAAGGTTTACCTTGTTAGCAGAGAATGGCCACAGAATCCAGGCCTACCTACGCCCTGGCTAGATTGGAGCTCTGCCCCCGCCTGCAGCATTAACCCACTGTGATCTGCATCCCTCATCTGTGTGCTGCAGGAATCCACACAGTGTAGACACATTCCAAGGAAGCAGATGCTGTCGTGCAGATGTGTATGCACCTTGAAGACCAAGGACCACGGGAAATCAAGTCGGAGAGAGGGATTTGAATCAAAAGAGAGCATCAGTCCTGGTCTTCTTTAAGCTACTGCTGTGCAGGGCCAGCAGTGTGGTCTCATCCCCTGGATGGGCCAGGGTGGGAAGGGTGGTCTGTGGGTTTAGACTGGACTGAAAAGGGTTCCTGTGAACTGGAGGGCTCTTTAAAACCACTTCAAAGTCTGCCAAGGGAGTTTAGTCAGAGTGATAAAGCCTCAAAGCAGAAGATAGTATGTGAGCATTTAACATCCCTGGATAGAAGCCATTAAATGGAAATCAGAAATATTTAAAACTTCTTATAAAAAAGAACAGCAGTGGCCTGATATGTTTACAAGTTTTCTTTAAATGACATGTCACTGAGGCATCCCCAGCAGACTGTTGGCTTTTATTGGGGGTGCTTATGGCCACGGGACCTTGAGAAGAGGCTGTCATAACATATTATTACCGGTTTCTGGAATTATTCTAACCAGGAAAATGAGGGTTCAGTGGGGTCATCTGGAAAGGTATGGCAAGGAGGATTAGGATTAAAATTCTAGAATTGAAGGGACTTCAGTGTTCATCATCTCACCACCGGGGAGCAGATAAAAACACAGACTTTTGTAGAAGGGTTGACTTATCGGGGTGGCGTGACCCACTCAAACCTCACGCAGATGGAAAGGGAAGAACGTCCCTCTCATTTGCAGCCAGGAAAGACACATTCTGGGGGCCAAGGGTGGGGGGCAACTGGAAATAATGGGTGGTTTCCAACTATATGTGGAAGGTTTCTGGGCTTGGGAGTTCAAAAGCCAGAGTACTAGTCTTGTCCCTGAATTCTGAGATGGTGGCCTCTTCCGTCCAACAGGAACTTAAGCAACAGTCAAGCTGTGATTCCTGAAAGGTGTGACCTTCAGGGTGACCAAGGAGGGTGAGCGTGCAGAGTGAGCCTCAGAGCCATTTTCCACCCAGGCAGCCCCACTTCTGTTTTCTATATCAGGCTACTAGAAGATTTCTTAGAAGAAAAAGTTTACTGGGGAGATAATATTTAAAAAACAACAATACCAAGCAACAACATAGGACAAGATGAGTCTCCAGAGGGCCTAGCAGCCTGGCACTCTGTGAGTTCTTGACTCCAGGAGGGGAACTCTGCCGGGCATGTGTGGCCAAGGGCACAGGGCCTGTCTCCATGTGAGCACCAGCTGTCAGCTGACCAGGGCACAGTGTCCTGCAAAGGCCTCATGGCTGCTGGAGCCTCTGCAGCGTGGCTAATGCTGATGCTGGGTTGGCATTCTAGAAGGGAGTCAGCTGGGCAAGCACAAGTGAGAAATGCATCCTGCCCTCCCTGCCCAGTGTGCTCATCCCTTCCCTCAAAGATTTTGGGAAAATGTGTCTGGATCAGAGATACAAGGACTGTAGGGTGTTTCAGGCAGACAGCCCAGTTTCTGCATTGCCTCAAGCAGACTGCTTTTTTGGTTACAAGTCTAATTTTGGAGCAGAGAGAGATTTTCTTGCTCACTCCCAATCATTTGGGAATTAATGGCAGATACAGGACTAGAGCAGGCATTTCCTAAAACCCAGGCAGAACCCAAGACCATGCTGCCCTTCCTCCTCGGGCTTTCAGGAAGGTGTCTCACGGCCCTGGATAGGAACCATCAACCAATTTCCAAAATCCTTTCGGGCCAGAAAGGCCAAGCTTTGGGTGCAAATGTATTCCAGTGTCCTTAATTCAGTGTCAGAAAAGGTCTTCAGATTCTACGGTTGCCCTTGAAAAGTACCTTGTCATTTTTTTTTTTTTTTTTTTTACTATGAAATGCAGCTGATGTCAGCTCCTTAATCTGCTTTGCCAGGAGACTGAATTTATTTGGGGCAAAGGAATAAGTTAAATCCTCTACTGTGTGCTTATCATCTTGATAAAGGAGTCCTAACAAGGTCAAAGGCCGGCATCAGTTTGAATGAGAGGAAAACTTGTGAGAAATGACTGCTCAGTGCACGTGAACCGAGAGTCAGTTCTACGGGTGGGAAGGAGGGGGCGGGGGAGGGGAGGAGGGCGGATGATGATAATAAGCCATTGTTGCAGCTAAAGAAAAAAATGTAATTTTCGTGGTTGTGAGGCTTCAGCTACCAATAAAAGCAAGTGTTTTCACTGACAAAATTTCTACATGGTTTTGACATGTTTGAAAGAGAGAAATAAAGCAGTTACGAGGCTCAAACTTAGTCTTGTCTACATCTGTGGAACACACTGTTTTACTAAGCCAACTTGTGGTCATTTTCCTTCTAGTTAAGTCTCCTCTCCAACCCAGATATTCAAGAATGTCTTGGTTTTACTACCAGCATTAGCTGGGGAATTGGGCTGAGGGATTCTGCTAACCTAATGTCCCCCACCCATAATCCATCTTCTCTTGGAGTTTGGTTCTGGCAGAGGCCAGATTATATCCTGAAAGACATAATTGTCCTGTTTGTCAGAAATATCAGTTTAGGATAATGAACACTTAGGGACTTGGTGAATAGCCCCTGCCTGATTGTTGTGACACTGAGAGGCTGGTTCCATTGGTCAGTCTGTTATTGTCATTACTCATTTCCATCATGGGCAGTGGCTATTTTGGGGGCTCATCTTTCTTTGCAAGGGATCAGATCTTTTGTATCCCTAAATTCTCAATAGTCCCTAACTGTATGCCATAGAGCAGTGGTTCTCAGATGAGATTTTGCCTCTCCCGAGATACTGGTACTGTCTGGAGACATTTTTGGTTGTCACAGCTGGAGGGGGTGTGTTATTGGCACCTAGTGAGCAGAAGCCAGGGATGCTGTTAAAATTCCTATAATTCTCAAAACAGCTTTCTTCAACAAAGAATGATCTGGTTCAACATGTCAGTGGCGTCGACATTGAGAAACTTTGCCATGGAGTACCAATTTGGGAAGGTTTTTAAGTCACAGAAAACTTGTTGCAAGTGAGATTTTTGATGCAGACCCAACATAAATAATAAGCAACATCCAGCAATTAAAATGAGTTTAAGCAGGGTAAGGAGTCCACAGCCCCACTTGCCAGGCCTCCCCTGCCTCTAGTGGCCTCGTAAGCCCCTGCAGTATCCTGGGGCTCAGTGGAGCACAGCTTGCATTGCCGAAAGAGCATGGAATTGACAGTCACAAAACATGGGCTTAGGACCTTAATTCACTGCTTACTAGCTATACAACCTTGGGTGAGTTGCTTCATCTTCTTGGGTTTGTTTCTTGGCCTGTTAAATGGGCCAGTAGTACCTGTCTCATAGGATTGTTTTAAAGGCTGAATAAGATTATAAGTGTAAAAGTACTTTGCAAACTCACTACTTCGTTGTCGATGCAAAGTTAACTCTTGTTGAATTACTGGCTGTGGAAGAATGAGACTCCAGCAATACTCACAATACGCAAAGTCTACCTACTCTAGAGCGGTTTGATGAAAATCTTTTCCAGGAAACCAGAGAAAGTTTAGAAAGTAGTTCTTATCTTTTGAACCAGGCACAATCTTACTAAATTTGATCTCTCAGAAGTACTCCAATCACATATTTTTTTCCATTTAAATAAATAAAATAAAATAAAAGAAAGAAAGAACTCTAACTTTGTTTAGCCCCACTTTTAAAGAACAACTTCCTGCCTGGCCATTGTGACTCAGTGGTTGAGCATCGACCCATGCACCAAGAGGTCGCCAGTTTGATTTCCAGTCAGGGCACATGCTCAGGTTGTGGCCCAAATCCCCAGTGGGGGGCATGCAGGAGATGACCAATTGATGTTCTCTCTCATCAGTGTCTCTATCTCTCTCTCATTCATCCTTCCTCTTTCTCTAAAATCAATAAAAAGAAAAAATATTAAAAAAAAACAACTTTCCATCCATGGTCTTGTTTGTGGGTTCTCTCTAAATTCCAGGGAATATTGTGTTGATTATTTCATGTGTGTTTTTTTCCTTTACATTCACCTCTGACAATGACCCCCACCCTTGCTTATACTCTTTGCTGATAAAACACAAACTCCTTAGCATCACATTCAAGGCCCTTCAGGATCTCTCCCCAATCCAGCCTCCCAGGCTCCCCTCCTACTGCCTGCTACTGCTACCCTACACCTTCCACAACTTGATCATTTGTTAGGGAGCTGGGCGATGCTTCCTAATGCCTCACATTTGGACATCATTACGGATGCGTTTTAGTGTAATTAGTGCTTCCTCTGGGGTCTCTGCCTTTTTCTTTTTTTAAAATTAAAGGTGACCTTGGAGCAGAGATTAGTGAAAGCATTAAAGACTCTGAGAACAGAAATGGAAAGGGGCAGCCGTGTTTGGCTGAGTCCCACTCTGCCGGCCTCATTCTCCACGGTCCTTTCTAGGTGTATGTACTCAGCCGCACCTAGCCTCCACTCACACCTCCACTCAGCAGCCGGACTGCGTCTCCCTCACTGCACCGCGGGAGGGCAAGCACAGCATCCGGCTCATCTAGGCTTCCCTAACTCCCAGCAAGTTCCCCAGCAGAGATCCTGGCCCACTTAGGGAACATGGGGGTGGGGGGGTCTCACCTTCACATAGTCATATTCGCAAAGGTAGGAGGATTCCAAGTTGAAGTGCATGAAGTAAAGCTTGATCCGAAATCCTTCTGGAACAGTGATATTCCAAGTCACTTTCGAATCACTGGGGTAGGAGTCTGGGTAGCCAGGTGACTGGATCTGGCCAAACATATTGTTAAGCTCCACAGTGTGGGCCAAAGCCTTCAACAAGGAGAAGCACAGAGCATGATAAAGAGGGAGCCACCTGAAAGACATAAATGGATCTGCTTACATTCATGGACATAGGTCCTCACCATTTAACTAAATCAGCAGCCCGGAGACCAAGTTCTCGGCGTATCTCTGCCATGGACTTTCTGTCATTGCTTCTCCCTGTGGGCCTTCTTACCAGTCTAGAATACAGAAGATGGTAACTCTGATTTCTAAGGTTTCTTCCAGGGTGCACTTTTGAAAATTTGATAATAGTATTAAACTTTCCCATCAAGTATGACATTTGAAACTCTGACTCACACCATTTTTCTGTTGAAAATGTAAATTTCATACTTAGGTAAAAGTTGTTATTATTTCTTCAGCTCAGCTTCATTCAAGAATCATAAACTCTTTCATTTTCTAAAAAGTAGGTAATAGTAACATAGTAATATTGGGATGAGATTTATACTCATTGATGGGATCTGCAGTACCGTAAACAAATTTAACAAAATTAATCGAGGTATGCAAAATTTGAAATTAAGAAAAAAAATCAGTAAAACAATTTTTTTTCTGTTTTGGTAAGTGTTCTTACAAAAGGATCAAAATCGTACAATTTTTTCCAGCTGTAGGAGTCGAAGACAATGGACTGTTAAGAGAGTTGCATAAAGGAACAGGAAAGCTCAATAACATTACAGAACATGCCCAAAGTGACTGATGCAATCAAGAGGCGGAATGTTCAAGGCTGGCCCAAACCCTGATGGTCAATATGCACCACACCAGGCATCTAATAGATAGACACCACCCCCAACCAAGCAAGATCCAAGGACCTTGAACTCAAACATCCCAAACCTGGTGCATCGACTTCTCCCATAAGTCCTGTTTGTTCTGCTTCCCATGGTCAAGAAATTTAAATGTTCTTTGTTTTTTTTTTTGGTACGTGCCCCTAGCGGAAACAGAACCCGGGACTCTCTGGTCCGCAGGCCAACGCTCCAACCGCTGAGCCAAACCGGCCAGGGCCCAAATTTAAGTGTTCTTATATGGACTCTTGCTATTGCATCCTAAGTGATCTCCCTGCCCCCACTTTATACTATTCAGCAATCTTCCACCAAGGTTGATTTTCTAAAGCACAGATGTGACCATGCTGCTGCACTGTGCCTGCCGGGTAAAGCATCTGCTACTGGGATGGCTGATGAGCCCTTTCTGATCTAATGCTGCTCTGCCTGTCCAGCTTTATCTCAGTGCCAACCATGCTTTGGCATCATTCTGGGAAAACACCATGCCCATCCAGTCCCCTTGTACATTTCTCACCTGATTGTCTTAATTCTCCTCTACCATCCAGCTCAAAGCTTCCCGGGCTATGGAGTATCCTTCACTGCACGGCTCCCAGCAGTACATGCTTCCATTAGAGCATGGATCACACTGCACTGCTTTGGAGGTGCAGCCCCTGGAGTTAGATGTGTTTGGGTTCAAATCCCAATTCTCCTGCTTACTGGCCATAGAAGCTTGGGTAATTATCCTCACTGAGCTCCAATGTCCTCATATGTAAAATGGAGATTATAATATCTAATTATAGGACTCAGATGAGCATTCGATATGATGGACTGAATGCTCTAGAGTAGAGTGTGATATATAATAGATGATGACTGAATGGATGAATGGAAGTGGGCCCGCAGTCTTATATAGCCCAAAAAGTCAGTGCTGGGGAAGTAGACCAGCATTTTAGGATTAATAGTTACATCTTTGCTAATCAGAAAGCCGTTCCTCCCATCCCTCTGTGCCAGGTGTACAGATGCATATAAGTGTATATGTACATACACATGAATTTTTGAGTGTGTAAACACAAGATAACTACATACATAGACTTTCTAGTTTTCTCATATAATGTTCACATAAAAGGTAAGTAGGTAAGTGCAAAAAGGCCTAGAAGGTTATCAGCAGGGTATGAATAGTGGTTATTGCTGAAGTGGGAATATGAATGTTCTTTTATTTTTATTTATACAAAATGCTCAAATTTGTCGAGAAGGATCTGTACTATTTTTTTTTTCAATAAAAATAAGACAACAGAATTATTTAAATTTTTTTTCCAAGGCCCTTACAATGGCAACATATGAGATGCAACTAAGGAGACAAAATGTTTTAATCCAATTGTCAGGGTCAATATTTTTTAAAGCAATCTGTTGGAGGAAGGGCCCCAGAGGCAGAGAAGGGAAGACATAAGTTCATGTGTGCAGTGAACTCGGAGGGAAGCTGAGTCTAGAAACTCACTTGTTGGGCCCAGGCAGCCCCACTTTCAAGCGAGGAAATATACCAACGTCAGCAGGGCAGGGAGTTCTGGCTCAGTGCTGCCTGGAGAGGGGGCAGTGCTGGTCCTGGGTCAGCAGCCCTAGGTTCAAGTCCAAACTCTGACTTCATTTATCTGACCCATCTTGGGGAAGTCATGTAAGGTTTCAGTTTCTTCATCCGTTCGATGATAATATGACTTCCCACAGGGCTGCTCTCAGATAAAAGAGGGTTGGAAAGTGCTTTATTAACTGTCCAGCCCTAGGCAAACATTAGTTATGATTACTCCATCATGCTGCTTCCCGAAAAGCAGGGGTTAGGAGTGAGCCTTGCCTCCCAAACCCGGCTTCCCTGCAATAGCGACGTCCAGATTGTGCAAGGCTCAAAGGTCAACTTTCTCCATGTCTGCTTTTTCCAGATCACATGGAGGAGACTCTGAGCCTCCTACTGTAGGTCTGTCAAGGGCCAGCTGCTGACAGCCCCAGGGGCCCAGAACCATGTGGGGTAGACAACTCATTAGTGTGGGAGGAAGGCCTGCAAAGCTTTCTGTTCAATTTTGTTTGCATCCCAAAACACTTGAACATATGAAACAAATAGCTCCTTGCACATAATGGGCTTGAGCATATGCTTGCTTGTTTTAGGGGCTGCGAATCAAAGGATGTAAGTGGTGGCTTTCATTCCCCCTCACGCTCTCTGAGTGTTTTTGGCTTCTGATACACCAGGCACTGGCTGTACAATTCCTGACACCTGCTATCTATTCTCCAGCTAATCAAAAAAGTTTAGCAACGTTTGCTCGAAATGTCAAAGTAATGCCGAAAGGTGGGATTTCAGAGGCTCCACTGTGGGAGCAGGCTATCGGGAATGATCCAAATGCCCGTGTAGATCAGTGACTGTGCCATGAGTAGTCTCTATCCTCTCCATTCACTCCCCTCACGTCCACCTATACCACACCCAGACTGTTTCTGAGTAGAAGAGTTGAAAGGGACTGTAGAGATCCCTTTGACAACACCCTTATTTGATGGATGATGAAAAGGATACCCCAAGAGGTGACAGTTCATATCCAATACCATATGGCGAACTAGCTTCAGCAGAAGAAGGGAGTAACCAAAGCTCACAGAGGAAGCTGGGTCCATGCCCATATGCCTAGGCATCTGGCCAAAGCAATTAATCCTGTGAAAAATAATTCAAAAACCCATGGCTTTATGTGAAGAATTTTTAAAAAGATACTAATAGCAAAGCCCCTCCTCAACAGATTCTAGTTTAATTGGTCTGGAGTGAGGTCTGGTCCTTGGCACTTTAAAGCGCCACAGATGATTGTAATGTGCAGCTACAACCGAGAGCTGCCCGTGTAGAGTGTGACTTGGTTGAGAGTCTGTTGGAATATAGTAGAAAAAAGTCTTGGAGTTGGAACCCAAAGACCCAAGCTTAAGTCTGAGCCTTTCAAAAGGCTTTGGGTAAATTGTTAGCTGCTTTTAGCCTCACTTTTCCATCCTTCCTCACCTTATCAAACAGTCTGAAGACCAGAAGAGAGAGTGCCCATTACAGTGTTTTGCAAACTCCGAAGTTCGAGGTAAGGCTCTTTGAAAACCTCTAGTGGAACGTGTTTCCAATACAACTTTCGCTATTTAACAACTGAATTCAATCCAGCCAATATTTATTGAATGCCTTATAGGAAACAGGGAGTATGCTAGGTACTGGCATACAAACATGAGCAAGACATAGATTCCGTACCCTAAGCCGCATTCAGTCTTGGAAGAGGAGGTGGACATTTAAACAAGGAAGTGTTACAAAGACAAGAAGAGGTGTGGCCCCAGAGGACAGAGAGGGGCCAAAGGAAGGGATGCTTACTCTGGGGATGCTGGCTAGGGAAGAGGAGGTGGTGTTCGAGCCAGCTGGAGCAATCAGGTACCCTTGGTAGAAAATAAGGGGAAGGGATGTTCTGGGTTCAAGAACGAGTAAACCCAAAGACACAGAACTGTTCATCAGCCCTGTAGTTTGGGGTGACTGGGGCTTTGGGTGGTAGGGTGGGATTCAAATAGCAAACAGATGCATCAAATTGTCATTGCATGTAGATGGCACACATTTCATCTCTTTTAGGAGAAAGGAAAATGAACTTAGATGGCAGATCTAAAATTACAATGAATTTTCAAAGAACAGAATGATTGAATGAACCTTAAAGACCTGATTCCCTCTCTGAACCCCAGGTAATGTGAGTTCAAAGAGTTGACAGTCTGAAGCCCCTTCTGGACTCAGACCCAGAAAAGTTGCTAGGTGACTTTACAACAGGGAAGCAAATAGAACCTCTTTTTCCACTGAGAAAACATTAATGGGAAAAGAGGTGTTTAGGACTTCACATACCTGCTTCAGGGTTTTTCTTTTTTGGTATTTTTTAAACAGCATTAACACTTATAAGAAGTAAAAATAATTATGGTGGTAGGGTTTTGAGACTTGCAGAGAAAAACTTACAAGGAATGTTTGATGTAGGAAGGGTCAAGTAACTTAACTATAGGCTGAGGAACTGGAAATGTTGAAGAGCATAAAAACAATTAGAATTTAAAGCCCTTGGTTCAGAACTCCAAAGGCTCCTTTAAGCAAAATTGTGGTGTCCCTGTAAGAGCCGGCTGGTGCATTTCGTAGCCAGATTCATGCCACCGGCTGCCTCTGATTTCAATGAGAAAATTAGAAATTTATAGAAAACTGTTAAACCGGTTTTTAATTTTCAAAATTGAGGTTTTAACCAGCCAGCTACTGATGGTTTAAGAAACCACAGAGCTGAGCTCTGGGAAGCGGGTTTCTTTTCCGGTCAGAGCAAATAAACATGCAAACACATACCTAACTCACAAAGAGTTGGGAGAGATGAACCGATTCTCTCTGCAGAGGAGGAAAACAAACCAACCAACAGTGAGCCTGTGGGCCACAGGAGGAGAGTCCGTGGCCAGCAGGCAGCACCCTGCGCTGGCAGAGGGAGAAATCTGAGCCTCAGCGCGCTGGGCAGGACCTGCACAAAGTCTCCCGTTTCAAGTTGCTTGTCTCCGGAGTCCCGGGGAAGGCGCCCAACCCACGTCTTTGCTCAGAGCCCCAAGGATTGATAAGAAACCCTTTGTACCACCTACAGGACACAAAGGTGAGTCAGCCCAGAGACAAGGTCAGTCCCTACAGGGCCACTTGACACCTGGACCCTGAAGGGACACTGTCCCCACTCCTGCCCGGGCACTCACCTCATTTTCCTGCCTTGGGTGCTCCTGGCTGCCTGGCTTTGGTCCCCCGGCCTGAGTTGTCTGTGAGCTCGTCCCCGATGTGGTGTCAGCGATGCCTTATCTTTGTTCTGAGGTCCCTGTGTGTCTCTGGAATTGGCTGGCATTCTCCATTCAGGTCACGCCTTCCCCTGCCTGCAACAGATCCCCTCTCCCCCTCTCCCTCTGCCTTTTCCTCTCTCTCTCCCTCTTTCTCTCCCCCCACCCCGCCTCTCACTGGCTCTTACACACACTCAGAGGAACCTGACAGAACAGAATCTGTCTTCCTGAAGAGACTGCTCCTCCAGTTCCCCCCTTTATCCTGCATGGCTGGCTCCAGTCCCTGAGAAAATAACTGAGAGGCTCAAATAGGTATTCCTCTCTCTCTCTCTCTCTCTCTCTCTCTCTCTCTCTCTCTCTCTCCCTCTCTCTCTCTCTGTGTGTGTGTGTGTGTAGAAGGTGGAGGGGGACAAAGTCTAATTTCTCTTCAGTCTCCCTTGCCAGATGGCTATAGTTTTCTGCTCTTTTTTTGGGACACCGGCAAAAAGACACCAACTAAACAGAAATAACCACTAAGAAGGCAATTCTAACATCTACACTGGGAAAGAAAACAGATCCCAAATACTACAGGTTTTCCTGTGAGCAGAGCCGCTGGCCCGGAAGGTTCTGGAGCATAGATCCTGCAGTTGGCTCCTTGTTTCTTTCCACTTAAACACTGAACTTGTACTGTTTACCAGCTCGGAGGGTGCAGAGGGCTAACCTCGCACCCAGGGGTGTAGAAAGAGCCAGGCCTGTATACATGTCTGTGTGCAGGTTTGTGGAGAGATTGGCACCAGACCTAAGCCGAGCTGAACAGCAGGAAAAGCACTCCCTTACAACAATGACAAGCAAAAGGGTGTAAAATCTAGATTTTACTGAGGACCTTGACTGCATTAGGCACAGAGCGATGCACAAGTGTCATCTCAATTACTCCCACAAACGTGTGAGGGTCATACCATCATACTCATTTTACAGATGAGAAAACTGAGGCTCGGAGAAGCTACATGACTTGCCAAGATTACCCAGCTCTTTGCTACTCCTTACTGCCATTACCACTAACAGTTAACATTTATTGAGCACTATGCCTCAGGCACTGTTCTGCTAATGTGTTAATTCCCTGCAATCATCTCTATACCTCATATAGGTGGGTAGTAATAGTATCTTCATTTTAAAGATGATGAAACTGCCAAGACAGGTCAAGTAACTTACCCAACAAGGTCACACAGCTAGAAAGCAATGAGAAAAAAATCTGAGCTGTAACTTATTTATTGTACGGCTTCTCAGTGATGTATTATAATGAATATGACATTTCAAGTCCACACAACATTCACAGAGAAACTCAATTTGAGTTATTTTGAAAACAGGGTTAGACTCAGTCAGAACTTAGATGCGATTTTTCTGTTCTAAGCTAGTTGTGCACTTTAGCCCCAATACTGAACATCTGCAGTTCTGTTTTCTTAGAAAATGGGGGTTGCTATGAAACGTGAGATTATACTTGTGGAGTGCTTTTTAGCTATGCAGCGGCATACCCAAGAAAGAGTTACCACTGATTCCAACCAAGGGGGTACATGCATGCACTCTCAACCCTGCTTTGTCATATTTTAGGGAACAGTGGCTTCAATCTTGCTAAAATTCTCCTTGCTCCATCTTCTCTCCAGTTTCTCTATTTTAACACTTTCAAATGTCAGCCTTGCCAAATCTGGCATGATTAAGAGGCTGTGGTCAATGATGTGGGTGCAAGTACATGGGACGAGAAAATAGGTTTGTTCTCAGGCACTGTTTCAACAAAATTTTGCTTTGTGTTTCAGGCATAATAGAAACAACCCCTTAAAAGTCCCATTAAGAAGACTCACAGGCTCCTTCGACATCAAATAACTCACAAAACAACATTTTAATGATTTAAGTGTAAATGAATCAGAAACACATGGACTACATTTCTCTTGGAACACACAAGGGTTTTAAAACTGAAGGAGAAAGAACTTGGCGCAAGGCACACTGTCTGTGCAGAGGGCCCTGCTCATTGAAGATGTCCCCTCCATTCATGCTGCAGCCGAGCTGGCCCTCTCCTAACTTAGGGCGCATAGAGGGGAATGCAGTCATTTGTCTTGGGCACGAAGGGGAGAACCTAGGGGGGAAAGCCATCAGCTTCTCCTTGTAAGGTGTCATAGAGCAACTGAGCCTCCAGGAATAATTTCCTGGCCATGTTTTTACAAGGCTGCCAATGTTCAATGGGAGGCATTTGAAATATGTTGTACGCCAAAGTTCTGCCAATACACAGCAGATCTGATGTGTTCTTCCTTGGGAGTGAGCCAATGCTCTGATGGAATCTGTGTGGAAACAGGCACCATGTGGCTTAGGAATGATTTGGGTGGGCTTTGGAGCAGTTTCCCATTGGGTTAGATCGCATTGGTGATATTGTCCTGTGCTTTCGGAAAAAACTCCCTGTGAAGTCATTGATAGATGTGGAAGCGGGAGCAATGGACGTGGTCTGAAAGTAGGCAGCTAACTTATGTGTGACCTTGGGCAGGTCATCTAGGTTCTCAACCAGGGGAGAGGGAGGAGGGGCATCAGTTTGCTCCACTGTGAAATCAGGGGATTGGACTCTTCTGAGATCATGAACACATATAGATGTGGCTTGCAGACTATGGCATGCTATTGCAGTGAAGGTGGTCAGGTGGATTGCTAATGACCTGTAAGGCAAGTCGAAGAGTCCAGAGTGGTTCTCTGATCTTGACACTGTTGTCATATTAGTATCCCATTAGCCAGAATTCTAACATAGGTATTCACAACAATAATTTTTAAGAAGATTCAGCTAGTTTTTAAAAAAGTTTCACCAAAAGGTTTAAAATATGCATACAAGGAACTAACAGTATGATATTTAGGATAATAAAGTTATAGAATGACAGATGTGGGCTCAGCACCCCCAGGTTATAGTCAGGGTGAGGGACCAGAAAACGACTACGAAGAGGGTAAATGCCACAGCATTCCTACCACGAGAAAGGACTTAGTTTACATGTTCTACTGAAGTATTTATTATATGCAGCTCCTGAGACGGGACCTTCTGGAATTCCATGAATGTGTTAGAAAAATGTATGGAATTTGGGCAATGGGTTTTTGTTGGCAAAGTCTGAAATCCAAGCTTCCTATAAAATATCTAAGAAACTGATAAGTATCCCCAAAGAACATAGCTTAGAATTAAGATTTGTGTTATTGAACACATTGACTGACAGTATGCTGAGAGTCATCACTTCAGAGCCTATCAGATTATCTGAATCATCTGGAGAATTTAAAACATACAATTCCCAAACTTTATCCCAGATTCATGAATCTTGGTTGGAGATCCTAATGCTGTAATTTAAAAAACTCCCATGACTTCTATGGCATAATCTTTACATTTTGGGTGCACATAACATGATGGTGCATCTTGTAATTGATGGCATTTTGGATTTGATGAAACATTCTTAGTATGTGCCAGCTACTTCCATATACATTACTACACATATATTCCCATCTTTTTACAGATGATGACACAGCTTCAGAGAGACTAAGTGTGTCAGCAGGAGGACAACCAATATTTAGAGCCCAGGCTTCCTGACCCCCAGTTCAGGAATCTTTCCTTTCATCTGCAAACTCCTGATCCTGCCTGTGGACTTCAAACATCCATGAGCCTTGTTGTCATGTGACTGCAAGATTTTGGGGAAGGAAAAATAGCTTCTACTAAATAAATAAACAAAATATTAGGCTCTTTAATGGACTGAACTGGGTCCATCCCAACTGCATATATTGAAGCAAGCCCTAACCCTCAGTACCTCAGAATATGACTATTTAGAAATAGTCTCTGAAAAGGTGATTAAGTTAAAAGTGGGGTATCAGGGTCTAATATAATTGGTGTCCTTATAAGAAGATGAGATTAGGACACAGACAACACAGGAGAAAACATGGGAAGAGACTACAAGAAGGTGGCCACCTGTGAGCCAAGGAGAGATACCTCAAAAGAACACCTTGATCTTGGACTGCTAGTCTCCAAAACTGTGAGAAAAGACATTTCTGCTGTTTAAGCTGCGCGGTCTGCAGTAGTGTGTTATGGCAGCTTTAGCAAATGAATACAGGCTCTCTTACAGAAGGTTCTCCGAAAGCATGAAACACATACCACCAGTGGTGTCAAGCCGGGTGCAGGTGCCATACGTATGGAATTAATAAACGCTGTTTGGTAGGTAATAAGATAAACCTTGACCAATGCTGAAATAGAGAGAATTCATTTTCTTTACATAGCAAGAAGTGAGGAGGTAGTTAGTTCTGGGGCAGCTGCTCGACCTTGTTTTCTTTCTTTCTGCTCTGCCAAACTTAGGATTTGGGCTATTGTTGGCATGCTTGTCACCTCATGGTTACAAAATGGCTGCAGTAACTCCAGATGTCATGTCAATATCTAAGCAGAAAAGAAGAAGAAAGAGGAAATGGTAGCCTTGGGGGACTTTTCTTTATGTGTGACAGGCCAGAGCTGGGTGCCACAGCCCCCATAACTTCCAGGTTTCACAGCTTATGTAGTGGAAGCAGGCAGTAAAGAAGACAGGGGTTGCAAATGGGATTGTATGAGTCAATCTTCGGGGTTCGTCACCATCATATGCCAAAAAAGTCCTGCCTTTTACATTTCTCCTGCACTCCTGATATTGCAAAGAAAGGCAGTCTCAAGGTGGTGCCACTATGCCATGTGTGATGTCTTCCCTTTTCACAAGGAAAAGCAGGCCTCAAGTTCAGAGTCCTGTGGAGGCAATAGTATCCGCTAGAATTTAACAGTTTTTTATTCGTTGTCTTCATTTTTACATTTATGGCAGTACCATTATTTTCAAATATGTGGATTTTAGTTAAAAAATAAATCCAGATTTGATTTGAATAAAAACTATTAAAAATAATAACGTAGGTGGTATTTATGCATATGAAAATCTATCAAGATAAATGACATGTTGGGTGGCTGCTCCAGAGGGTGGACTCATGGTGGAAGAGGACTGACCTGTGAGTCAAGATGCCAGGAATCGTGGCCACACTTTGCCTCAGCCCAGGGTGAAGCCTTGAGCTTTTCGTCTGAGTTTCTCATTCACAAGAATAATGTTGGACTAGGCATTCTGATTTATTTATTTTTAAGTACCTTCCTACTCAAACCCTTCACGGCATCTCT